GCAGCAATCAAAACACAAGTAGTTTTCAGCCTGATCAACTAAACTGGAATTAAAATAAATGCAACAGGTCTTTAATTATACTGAATAAATGCAAGAACAGTGTCAAATGGTGAATATCTATTCTATGACAACTAGGCAATTTATATAATTTTTGGATTGTTTTCAATATGTTTTTCCCTCATATTAATAGAGTACCAAAACATTTCACTTGAAAATGACAATTGCTCATAACAGTGTTCCTGTGTCAAATGGGACATTTGTCCAGGGCGGCAAGGGATGGGTTATCCCACCATAACACTTAGTATGCAGCAATCGAAACACAAGTAGTTTTCAGCCTGATCAACTAAACTGGGATTAAAATAAATGCAACAGGTCTTGTATATACTGAATAAATGCAAGAACAGTGTCAAATGGTGAATATCTATTCTACAGTATGACAAATAGGCAATTTATATAATTTTTGGATAGTTTCCAATGTGATTGTCCCTCATATATATTGATTAATAGAGTACCAAAACAATACATTTCACTTGAAATGACAATTGCTGCATAAAAATGTTCCTGTGTCAAATGGGACATTTGTCCAGGGCACCATAAGGCATAACACTTCATATGCAGATCGAAACACAAGTAATTTTCAGCTTTAAATGTAGCTCATTTTGGGTTAACTTGAATCATAGTTTCTTTGTATACAAAATAGTTTAAATTAACAATTTTGGAAAGATGAGAGCACTCAGCAGTTATTTCCCCGCTGCGCGGCATGAATACATATTTGGGCTGAGACTGAGGTTACAGAAATATCTCAATGCACTCTTCAACAGAATCTTAGGCGGACATATTTTTATGCACGATATTTTAAGTTATTTTTCTATTACTATTTTAGTACAAGTTAGAGGACGAAATTCGTCATTATTCTATTCATTACATATAATTCCCTCCAGCCATTGACAATGACTACAGTATATAAGCGGTATATAAAAATAGTTTATAACTCACCTATAGATAAATATCTATCTCATCCACGTACCGCTTGTTCTGCTTCTGTCCGAGTGAACTTTACAACGGCCAGATTTCGAAAGCACGGCTATATACATTTTTAATTAACACGATGTTGATTCAAAGCGCGTCAAGCAGCTACCCTTTTTAATTTTAATAGTTTATGAACATTATTCTAATCAAGCTTGGTTTAACTTTAACCAATGAATGTTTATCAATTTCCATTGTTATATAGCTAGCGTGAACACCAAACGTGATTGGCTGATTTGTGGTCACGTGACTTCAGATAAATGCAATGTTTCCCGCCGGGCAACAAGTGAAAAATTGTTGCCCGCCCCGACCGGCCATGTACATAAATAAACAAAATGGCGGCACAACTACGATAATTAGAAACTACGATTTTCCAAGTTTGTGTTCAAATAAAGAATGTAAAAGGGAAGAAAAATACAGAACAGGAAACAGGATATGCTGCCGAAACCGTTTAAGTAGGTTCTTTAATTTTAAACTCGTTTACTCTATAGAGTTTTTGCCACGAAAAACAATTGTTGTAAATGAATGTTGTTGAAGTTGATTTTTGTTCGTCGCTATATAACAAAACACTTAATGTCTGTTCCCTCGGGAAATAGTTAGGTTTGTTTTCCCTCGAATCTCAATGTTTCCCTCGACTCCGTCTCGGGAAACATTGAGACTCTCGGGAAAACAAAACTAACTATTTTCCTCGGGAGCAGCCATTAAGTGTATATTATAGCGTTATATTAGGATTCAGCTTTTCCATACTCTGGCATCAAACTATATGAAACGATCACATTCAGTCGAATGATATACTTTATAATAGCGCTAGCAGACACCGTGCAGACACTGACTGACAAATTTGGAACATGAAACCAAAATTGTATACTGAAACGCAAGTTCTTATTGGTCGAAAGCTTGTAGTCAGTTAGTAGGGGAAAATTTGAATATTTATGTAACACACCGATTGTGTTTTTTCAAAACCGTGCTAAAATACCGATATTACAATCTTCTTGAATGAACTATACTATCTTTTCCCATAATTGGTAGATAGATCTATTAATTTCGCGATAAATATTAATGTAGTTCTTGGAGTCCTATGTTTTTACAATGAACCAATTCGCCTTTAAAAACACAGCTGGCTTTTTAATTCTAATATATTACGGCGCAATTTTCAAGCTTCAAGGTGAACACCACAGAAACTATAGTTAATTAACACAAATGAACAATAACGAACGTATAAAAGTCACAAAGAGAGATGTATGTATTTTAAAACCAAGGTGTCCAAAGGTTAACTAAGGAAGGAGTGTTATTTTGAAAAGGCGTGTTACTTCGTAAGGCGTGTTTTCCCAAGATGTGTTAATAAAAATTTTAATTAGGTGTGTTATTTGAAAAAGTGTGTTATCTGACCAAGGCGTGCTATTTTACAAGATGTGTTGCCTTTCGAAGGTGTACTGTAATTAAAAGACATGCTGGAGTAACACACGCATTTTGTCAGAAGGTGTGTTTGGCTTAATAGCACGAAAGATGTGTTATTGAAAGGCGTGCTTTTTAACCCACTGGCGTGCTCTTTAACATACCATGATAGGTTAACTAGCACATCAAGGTGTGTTAAGGTTTGATTGTGTGTCAGTGTAGCACACCAGGCGTGTAAGATAACACAGGTCGGTGTGTTATTAAGCACATCTATTTTTTAGAGTGTAGCCTACATATCAGAAGGTCGCACACGACGACACGGTACTAGGCTATATGCCCTGACTCCTATATATATATATATATATATATATATATATATATATATATATATATATATATATATATATATATATATATATATATATATATATATATATATCATTATGCATGGAGGTACTGATACAGTATAGGCTATAGCACGAAAGATTGTATACACTACAAATTATTCCCTTTTAGGATGCGCCAGTTTTATATTTATAAACAACAAGTTGATCTTCTGCTGACATGTTTGTACTGAATCAACTTGTTGTTTATAAATATAAAACTGGCGCATCCTAAAAGGAAATAATTTAGTGTATGCAATCTTTCGTGCTATATAGCCTATACTGTGTCAGTACCTTCATAATGATATATACAGGAGTCAGGACATCAGATAGCCTCGTACCGCGTCGTCGTGAGCGACCTTCTTATATGTAGGCTAGTATGCTCGGTATGCTATGCGGCCAACGGCAACAATATTGAATCTCAGAGCAAGCGAAAACTCGAACGAAAACGCGGATAGAGTCGTAGGATTTTTACTCGTACTAAAATTCCCTCACTGAGTGTCAGTTTAATTTACAGTTTAAATATGGACGAATTTATTAGACACACATGCATGCGTTGAAACATCATTTATATATACAACTTACAGGGCCTATAATTATATTTGTTTGTATTTTTGTCATTTTAATTGAGCGAAAGGTTCACACGCTAAAGAGTAAAGGTTTTTTATCCATCGCCGCTTATAAAATATTTCGTGTGAGAAAGGATCAATATTAAAGAACTATCTGTATTAAAGTGATGCTAAATACCAACTTCGAACGAGAATTGAAAATTTAATATATTTTGTACTTCAAGAGTAGCTAAGTTGGTAAAAACAAAGAAGCCAATCAACTGTTGTTACTTTAATATTTTGATTGTCATGTTTTCAACAACAAAGATGGGCCATTTAATATTCTCAACAAATAACAATTCTAGGTTTGATTTCTATTTTTCGGGCAAATATTTATTACTTTGAGACTGATTTCTGCCGAGGATTTCTGTTCGTTATTAGTACGTAGCTATCGGTCAGAAAGGCACGTTCTACGCAATAATTATTGCAGCAATACTTTCACACCTCCGGTATTTTTTTTCCGAATTTTTAACTAATTAAGAATTTTTAGTGTTCCGGTGTTCCGTGTTCCGGAATGATGCTGTTCCGGTGTTCCGTGTTCCGGTGTTCCGTTGTTCCGGTGTTCCTGGTTTTACTAATAGCCCCTCTGGTAACGTGCACCGCACAGAAACAGTCGAATTCGTTGGGCGAGTAACAAAATTTTCGAATGATCTGTAGATTATGACCTTATCTCTCTCCTTCGCAGAGGCTTACATGAAGTTTCTAGTGAGGGAAAAGTGAGCGGGCAAGGAGTGATGGGAAGAGCTAAATAAAGGAAGCCTCTGCGAGTTAATGCAATCAATATGGCGTCGTATATAATCGTTTGTAGGGAGGAAGTTCGATCAACCATCGGGGGTGTTAAAACATGTTTTCGACTTTCATTTTCAGGCGTACTTGAGTATCCTGGGGTGAATTCAATATCAATATCTTCTTCTGTCCTTTTGCATCGAAAAATATTAAGAAATTGCAAACGAATATCAATGGATACGAGCTATCTGATTATAAATATCCTCTTAATTGCAACATTTCTTTATAAAAATGACTCTATTGAACTTCGATACTCAGATGATGAAGATTCATTTCAATTTCTTTCACATTTCAGTCGATTTCAAGTTTAAAACAAGGTCAAACAACTAGTTTGGTTCAAAAACCATACTTCGTCGCATTATCCGGAAGAGCCTCCCCAACTTCATTTCAATCTTCCCATCACACCACTCACTTTTATTCAGGAAACTTCACGTAAGTTATTTGTAAATACTTAAGGAGGCTCTGCGGAGGAGAGAGAGGACCTTTACTTACCAGTGGGCTTTAGTAGCTCTAAAATTTTCACTTGTGGCAACCTGTACTCTGAAGTCCAGTATTGGTGCATTGCCAAACAAACTCGACCAATGTGGGTCCCCGTAAGGTTCAACTGTCTTGTTATTGGATGGAACTGACCAGGTGATCGAGTTGTTTTTTCTACCAATCAAAATCCAACCTCCCTCGTCTGTAGTCATGTCGCACCAAGCCTTTAATAGGAAAATAAGATTACATCAGAGAAAATTGGAAATGAATGTCGGATCGGAGACAGTTGAAAACATTTTCTAGGAAGTTTGGCTTCTAAATTTCTAAATTATACTGTATAAGCTTTCTATTCACTTTTCTGTAGCTTGTAGATTAACTCTGTAAAACTGCAAACTTCGATGATAACAAATAAAAACGCCTCCCTCCTTGAATTCCGTTGTAGTTTCGTTCTGTCATTTCGGTGGTTAGTACATGGTCAATAGAAGCAAATGAGCAAGATGTAATTGGTTCATTAGGGAAATTAAGAAAAGAAAGGTTTTGAAGAGTGAAAATGTATTCAGTTAATTAGTCAATTGGTCAACTCCTTATTATATTCTTGGAAATGGTACATATTTCAATGTTTAAAACATTTCAAAAATTAGAATAAAATTTGAAAAGTCGCTTTCATTAATAACTATACATTGAGCACTGCCCTGATTTTGGAACAAGCGGTAAGAAATCTCACCAGTTTAGGGTTGGAACTGCCTAATGTTAACCAGAAAAATCCATCTTTAGCGTCTGGACGCTTGTTCAAAACATTTGAACAATCATAACCAGGATTGAAAAATTCACCAAATGTATTTTTCATACCTGTGAAACAGAAATTAGGTGACTTAACATTGTCCTTAAATACTTCTGTACATTTAGTTAACAATAAACTCGTCATCAAAGCATAAAATTATGAAGCCTATGTCCGTGGCAGGGGAGGAAGAGGGTTGGGGGGGGGGGTATTCTGGGTGGGCAGCTAGCTTCTCAATTTTTGTTGAAAGGAAAGAATGTTGGGAACTTCTCATCCAAGTGTTGGACAATTTCGTTGCGTAGTCCACCACTATTAGTCCAAATAGATAATTTCAACTTTATTAAATTAAATATAAGTATTGTATGCCTGCGTATTGCCGACATGGAGAGTGGCGGCTCTATCTAAGGTGTAGCTTTATGTTAGACACCGTCAGCAAATTTCCAACTTAGTCGAGCGGAATAGTGCCGACCCCCCCCCCCTCCCCTCCCTCCCTGGTAGCCTATGATGAGCCACACTAGCTATAAGATCAAAATATTAAAGTAATATAGAATCTATAATTACATGTACAGTACTGTGTGCTAAAATCTACCTACGCGTACGTCTAATAGGACTTGGCCAAGCCAATGAAAAAATTCCTGCTGTACATGTCGTTTCAAGTCCTTGTCAAGCAAAAAACAACTTAACTTAACAAAATACTTATTTCTTATATTAGCTTACTGTCTGTAGATCTCCATTGAAAAACATCTTTATCTTCTACACAAATTACGATTTCTTCTTCATTGACCGTGTTCTTCACCAAAACTTCTTTACCGTGAGCTTTCTTGTTACAAGGACCAGGATCATAACTATTCAACACTGAAATACGCTAGAAATGAATATAACGATACAGAGAAAGAATATATTTTTGAAATTAAAAAAATTTAAACAATTGATAAAATACCGCGAATGTTTAATTTTTATTTCAGAATCATCCTCAGAGATACGAAAAACTAGTTTCATATTATTCTGACACTGCAATCGAGCAACGAAAAATTCGTTAGCTCGAGCAGGATTTGAACTCGCATTCGGTAGAGCGGCGGGCTAGATACCCGAAGATGCGAGTTCAAATTCCGCTCGAGCCAACGAATTTTTCGTTGCTCGATTGCAGCGTCAGAATAATATGTAACTAGTTTAATTTTTAAGGTCTAGAGTCTCCTTATGTGAATCAATGTTTTTAACTACAAGCTCACTAAAAGGTTAGAAGCTGAAAAAACTCATAAGGTTTGCATAAGGTTTTCTTTCCTCGTTATTTAATTAAGGCACAGTCGTTACAGTTGACGTTGCAATGGCAACATGACGTCACCATTTATCTCGCCTACAAAGTTTGACAATATACAGCACATTGGGATAGTTTTCACATCAAGCGTTTAAATTTGTCCTTCAGCAGCATATTGGATAAGTATGTTCGGGGTTCGTTAGAGTGAGGACAAAACTGCGGCTGTTTAAAATAAATTTTAAAAACACTTTAAAAAAGGTCTTGAAAAAATTATTTTTGATCACTTATATGAATATTCTTAATACGAATAAGCTGTTAAGTCCCTGTCCGTCAGGATTCCGGTCAATGCATACGGCACTTTAACGGCACTAATTGAGGTTACAAATACTTGGTCCGTTAATATTGACAATGTACTAGTAAGGAGTTGTTTTTATCGATTTAAAGAAAGCTTTCGATACGACTGATCATGATATTATATTGCTAAAACTTGAAAATTATGGAGTTAAACGAAATTGCCTAATTACTCACTGGGGCACCTGTGCCCAGGCGAGTATAGGTTTCGGCATGCATTTGTCACGGATCACGGATCATGGATAGTGGATCTCCAATTGTCAATAGCCACAAAATAAAATATTAATGAGCTTCCTAATTTTCACCCAAATTATCCATAAGGCTCCTGCCAATTTTACCCAAATTATCCGTAAATAACACTTCATTTTGAGGAAAATTCGGGAAAATTGAACAATTTTGCGAGGAATTTTGACATGGAAACAGCAACCTTCGCAAATCGCAAGTTACGTTTGGCGTTGTGGTTTGGATGCGATGCTTTATAATTTGAGAAGAAAGCGACACCGTTCGATTCAGCGTAAGAAATTGTACTAACGGATGTCAAGTGTATTACTAAGCACTAGTATTCTAGCGATTTATGGCCTTTGAAGATCAAGCAAAATTGTATTGTTGACAAATCGCTCAAAATTATTAAACTAATTACAAAAAAATGCAGTACGTTTGATCCTTGATAACTTTGGTATCATTGGTTTTCTCTTTTTCGGTCGTATACCGGTACCAGTCGATTCGTCTCACTTCTCTCTTCATTTGGATAGTGTCTTGACGGCCCAAAAGCCCCCAAATATTTTATTTTGAACGCGTTTTAAGGGGGTCTTTCACCCTAAAAACATTTTTTTTCAATTTAAAGGTTTTATCATCATATTTGAGTCAAATATGATGGAATATCATCAGCTGACGCAGGATCAGTAACTTTTACATTCGTCGTTGCCATAGTAACTAAGATAGGCCTCGCTATAGGGTAAAATATAGGGTTTGCTCCAAAAATGATGTGAGCCAAACTAATTTACCGAGGATTTTAGAAACAGCTTTAATGGACACTTAATACATCGATCTATGTCATGAACCTAAAAAAATATACAAGTAATATAATAAGGTTTTCATATTTTACTTTTTTAAAATTATATGAAGAAAGAAGTTCTTATAAGGCTACTCTTGCAATGTATATTCTGATATATGAAGTTTTTTAGGTCCATGACAAGGCTATGTAACAAGCAAATAAACTCTGAAAATTTCGAACGAATTGATTCAGTATGAACAGTAGGAGAGTTTTTAGTATTTCGCAAAATGCTCATGTGAGAAAAGCGATTTTAAAGTTTTTGCATATATTAAAATAACTTAGATAGAACAATATAATTGAAAATGGAACAATAGACTAAACCAATCGCATATCTTTATCGCTCCGGGTAAAATCGTGGTTTTACCCTACGAAGGTGTAGAATTTGCTGGATTTCTCTGGTTTACGGTACATTTTCGTTCATAAAATTACACGGATTTTATAAAGAACGCTATAAAGACTACATTTTTACGTTTTTCTAAAAAATAACGAATATTGGAAAATTTGGGTGGAAGACCACCTTAAAGCGCAGTTTAATCCTGGCGTACGGACCATAGATATAAGAGATCTAGATTGCTAACGCATACCTAGCGCAGGCGGGGCCTACATAATAAATCCAAGATGGCGGTACAACAGGGCAAAAAGACTATAGATTCTATTACGAAAATCGGGATTTTTTCATTTTTTGCCGTCGCATTGTTTTGAAACTTATTCGGTCAAATTTTATGGTAAAGAGAAACTTACCGCGAAGATTTTGAGCATATATATGATTGAATTGGATAAAAAATCGCAAAATTATCCAGCGATAAAAGTTCGTGTATAGTACTGATATAGTACTATATATGTAACTTGTACAGTTTTGCTTTAATTTTTGCTCACTATTTGCATAAAAAGCAAATTATAACAGACCATAGATGATAGACCCTCATCCAGTGCTCTCATCAGTTTACTTCTCTAACAAGCAAGGGGGGGGGGGTACATAACAGTTCATTTTTCATAATTATGAGGACAGAGCAGATGATGATGAGAGATGCAAGTATAAAACACCATTCACAAGGCTAGATGTTAACACAGCACAGTATTTCTGGCAATAAAACGCTCCAACTGACCATTCACACGAACTTTTATCGCTGGATAATTTTGCAACTTTTCATCCAATTCAATCATATATATGCTCAAAATCTTCGCGGTAAGTTTCTCTTTACCATAAAATTTGACCGAATAAGTTCCGAAAATATGCGACGGCAAAAAATGCAAAAATCCTGATTTTCGTAATAGAATCTATAGTCTTTTTGCCCTGTTGTACCGCCATCAGTAGAACTGTAGCAAACTTCAACACAACACCATTTACTAAACTGATTTCAACATAAACATGATTTGAACAGCTGTTGACTCAACAAATGGTAAAGAATATACAGTATAAATTAATTACGGTACATGTATACAGGGCATAGTTGCCAACTCTCACGTATCCACCATCAGCATCACATGTTCTACTAAAACCTCGCGGTGAGCTCAAAGCTTGGTAATTTCTCACAAATTTCGAAAATAACCCAACTGGTTTTTAAATATGTTGGCTTTGTTGCACATTTTAAATTAACTATTAAGAGTGACTTCATTTACGTCAAATTAATTACATAAAACCTTTTTCTTCTGAAAAAATGCACGCCATTTATAAGCCAAATTCAACAATATGGTTTTGTATATCTAAATAAAAGCCACCAAAAGTTGTGTGTATAAGGTATAAAAGACTCTGAAAATGCCATTTCCAACGATC